CAGGTGCCCCCATTCCTCCCCAGTGAAGGTCACGGCCACATCTTCAAATGATACCAAAGCCTGAAAAGTCAAACAGAGGTGACAGGATGGCTGTGCAGCTATTAGATGAAATTAGAGCCTATTGCTTGGTTACTGGCAAAATCCCAGAGAGACCCAATGCCTGAACCACTGAGCATCTCTCAAGACCTTAGCTCTGCAGAGGTGGGTAGAGGACGGTACCCCTGACACAATAGAGAGGGATGGGAGAGAAAGCCTCTCACATGGGAAGCCATCAGAGAATGACACAAGAGAGCGATAATCCCGTGTGGACTATGAGGAGGAGATACTAAGTGCTCTGGGATGTTAGAGGAGTGAGGGGAAAAAATAATAATCCAAACAATGACGACAGCAGCAGCAGCAGCCAACCCCACTGGTCCGTACTGTTCGCCTGCTCCTGAGGGCGCTACGAGCTGTGCTAAAGCAACTGAAGTCTCCACGTCTGAAACCAGACTTCTCGGGTTTAGATCCAGCCTCGTGGACCAACACGTGACAGATGTGAGACTGTGGGGAAGTCTCTTAATTTCTCTGAGCCTCAGTTTCCACATCAGTACAACAGTTCTTACTTCAGCGGATTGTTGTGAGAATTATAGAGAAAATGTTCACAAAGCAAACAAAGCACGTGTCACGAGGTGTGCTTGTGTGAATTTCACTAACCCCCATAGCCCATGAGGTAAATGCCATCATAGTCTCCATTCCACAATCAGCAAACTGAGGCTCGGAGTCAAGTTACTCAGAGTTGTGCGTCTAATGAACAGACGCAGGATCTGAACCGAGGGCTCTCTGGCCCAGAGTCTACAGGTGTAATCCCCATACTCCACCATGACCACAGGGAAGCCAAAGGGACAAGGGCAAGAAGCATATCCAATAATTTCTACAGTTGAAATCAGGAGTGGTCAGCCACTCCTGAAGATGTTCCCATAAGCACAGGAGGAGAGTGGCAGGAGAGAGCAGAGCCCTCTCATCTCCTGCCTCGCAGAAGCAGCACCTGAAGAGGTGCCAACTGCCTGGGGCTTGGCAGGGCTCAAACAAGCTCTCCCTGCCCTCAAGCTGCAGCTGGGACATGCAGCCATGAAGATTCCACAAGGAACTACCAGCCTGTTCTTTTTCCTTCTGAGCCACTGTTAGCACACTTCCCCGAGGTATCATCACTTAAGTACTAGATAAGACAAGCTTCGAAAGACAACGCAGGCTGCGGCACTAAGGAGCTGGGCAGCAGCCTTGAGTCCAATGTCTGTCCTGGGTGAGGATCCATCTGATGACCACACATTCTCACCTTCCTGAGAAACATCTCAGCAGGTGAAGGGAGCCCTTGGCAACCCCCAGGCCTTCTCATGCCTCCTGGAACAAAAAACAGTCCACGCCTTTGTCTACACAGTTCCCTTTGCCTGGAAGATTCCCATGCTCCCCTGGCAGAGAAAGGCCTGTACCCTCCCTTTGCAAAGTTTACTTTAGTTATCACACTCTGGGGCCCCCAACCCACTGTGGGTGGAGCGTTGGTTAAGAAATTGTAGTCAACATGCTGGATGTGTTTATGCTACTTATGAACTGCATGCCCTTGGGTAGTTAACAATCTGAGTCTCCAGTTTCTCTTCTGTAAAGCAAAGAAAATGAAAGACTCTTACTTTGAGAAGGAGGGGATTAAATGAAGTAGTAAATAGAAACTGTCCCTCAGTACATATCAAGGGCTCAATGAAGACCAGGTATTATTTGTTGTTTTGTTACTAGTATTTTTCCTATTTGCTCCTGTAGCACCCTGGGAAAGCTTGCACATGTCCAAGGGGCAGCCTGCAGAGATCTGGGGACAGTGTGACAGAAGTGGACAGGGGTGGGGCAATGGTCTGGTGGGCTGGACAGAGACTCTGCAGCCATGGTGGGGCATTTGTTTTAAATCTAAGTATAATGGGAGCCCCAGAGGGTAGACTCTATCATTCATCAATCACTGAGTAAGTGATACAGGCCCAGAACTGCACTAGGCCCGAGGATTAAAAAAAAAGAGAGAGAATAGGAGCTCTCATTGCGGGGTTGGGGAAAGATCCTCAACAATAAACCAGCAGGCTAACATCAGAAGATTCTAGAAAACAAGAGTGACAGGACTATAAAGACTAGGAGATTTTAGATGAGGCAACCCGGGAAGAGTGGGGCCCTTGAACAAGGCTGGAATGAGCTGGAGAGCAGGCCAGGTGAGGGACAGTGAGCCAGTCCTGAAGGAGATCAGGGCTGTGATGGGGGAACGCGGTGACACGCTGCCGAGCAGCCTGGGCCTGCTGTGCTTACATTCCACGAGACACACATTCCCGTACACTGTCGCGGGGACGCTCCTTCTACCCTCCGGAGTCAGGACCCGGGTCTGGAGTGGTCAGCGCTGTCCTCTTACCCCACCCCGTCCAGGGTCTCCAGACGCACGGGCATCAAAGGGGAAGGCGCGGAACCCAGGACGCCCCGTGCCACGACGGAGGGGCCGTGCGGGCGGCGACCCCCCGCTCACCGAGGCCGGCGCCGCCATCGGACGCAGTGCGCGGAGCGGGCCGTGGGGTGGCGGCGACGGAAGCCGGCGCGGCGGGCTCAGCCGACCCTCGCTCAGCCCCGCGGCGTCGGGCCCCAGTCTCGGCGGTGCGAACGGCCCGCAAGACTCTCGCCGCCGTCTCCGGGCGCTGCGGGGTCAGAGCCCCGGGAAGCACTCGGCGGGCAACCCTACTGGCGCGGGGTCGCGGCGGGGTCCGGCTCTCTTCCCGCTCCCTCCCTGCCCGGGCTCGAAAGGCCGGCGGTTGGGGGAGCAGCCGCGGCCCAGCGGCCCAGTCCGCCCACCGCTGTCCGAATACAAGACGCCGGGGCCCCGCCCCTGCCGCCGGGAACGCCCCCTGCGCTTCCGTCATCGGCCGGCGCCCCAGGCACCGCCCTCTGGGTAATAGAGTGTCGGACCTGAATCCGGGTGGAACTGGCGCGCACTTCCTGTTCTCTGAGAAACAGCGTCCTAAGGAGCCAAGGGGGGCGTGGCTTTGCTTCCTCTTAAAGGAGAAGCACACAGATTTCCCCCGGCCACTTGAGGCTGTGACCCACACGGAAAGGTCTGTAACAGGTGTAGGGGCAGAAGGTTCACGGAAAATGACTGGCATGAAGCAGATCTATTAAGAGGAGAAAAGGCATACAGATTTATTTAACGTGGATATATGGACCCTTCAAAATGAAAACTCAAAGATACAGGGGAAATTGTCCATTTTTATGCTTAGGTTCAATAAAATACAGACAGCTGTGTAGAAATGTGGTTGCACAAAAAGGGTACGATCTGACGCTAATAGTCTGAGTAGGGAAACCCAGCAAGGCCTGTCTAGATTCCTGTTGGCCTCTCGGAGCATGTATTCCTTCCTTCTGGGTGTGGGGCAACTCCTTTTGGATGAAACTTTCTGCTTCACCCAAACCTAGTGAAGCAGAAACTCTGGGGGTGAGGCCCGGCGATCTGTGCTTCCGCAAGCCCGCCGGGGAATTTTGGTGCTGTCTCCAGATTGAGAAGGGGTACACTCGCTAAAACCCAGTGAATAAAGTAGGTAGAATAACACTACACGCCTCACGGGAAGTAATATAAAAAGTGCTTTGCTCAGGCCTGGCACATAATTACTATTCATTATATACATAGTAGCTACTTTTATCATCATTATCATCATAAGAGTCTCACATACATTGCTCTGAGAGAGCAAGCCAGAGATGTCCTCCTTTCAAGAGTCATTTAGGATATTTGTCAAAATATAAAATACAATCATATAATCACTCAGATTCAGCAAGTAGCCTCAGAGGTAATCATTAAAATTTTTACATGGAAGCACATGCACTTTATACCATTTGACTCCTTTTTAAAATTTTATTTTTAAAAATAGACCATGCAGGAGAGTTTCCTAAACTAGAAGTAGGCCTAGTACCTAAAGGATGAATTCTTAAAGGCCAGCTGATTCAACACTTGGGAACATCGTGGCTACTGCCTTCAGGTCAAAGTGGAAAGTGGAGTGGACAGGATTTCAAGGATGTGACAGCAGCTGACAAGTCATGGTTGATCTCTAAGTCTCAGGGACTTCACCTTCCTCCTTCTTTCCCTCTGGCCTTCAGGGCAGCCACATCTGCACATAAATGTTTGACCACGAGCAGGCACAGCCTGATGTTTAGTGACTCAGAATCACGAGGCACTGTCCTCATCAAGACTTCATCAGCCCCTTACCTGAACCTGCAGTCCGCGGGTGAGCACCTAATGTAGTGTCAGGGAAGCTGAGCGTCCAGGAAGAGAAAGGGGGATTCCTGAGCATCTAGCTAGTTTCTAGCACAACCCAACAATTTGGTTACCAGATACCCATCACAGTCAATCTTCCGTAACTGTGGGTTCCGCATCCACGGATTCCACCAACCATGGTTTGAAAACATTCAGAAAAAAAACAGATGGTTTGCATCTGTACTGAACATATACAGACTTGTTTTTTGTCATTATTTCCTAAATAGTACAATATAACAGCTATTTACATAGCATTTACATTATATGAAGTATTATAAGTAATCTAGAGATGATTTAAAGGATGTGGGAAGATGAGGATAGGTTATATGCAAGTACTATGGTATTTTATATAAGGGACTTGAGCATCTGTGGATCTGGCATCTATGGGGAGTCTTAGAATAAGTCCCTCATGGATGCTGAGGGATGGCTGTATATTATTTCTCCTACACACTATTACCTCCTTTTATGTGACAATCCCAGATCCACTACTGTCATTGCCTCCATCTCAATGTTAGAATTTATGTTCATAGATTTGAAAGCTATGAACAAAATGATAAGTGATTTGTCACTATTCACTCTCGATATATAATTGTGATTCAGGGACACAGGGAAAGGGATGAATTCAAACTGCTGTAGAAATAAATAACTGCTCACTGAAATTTCTACACACGGCAGAAGTGTCTTTGAACAAAGAACATTAAAAAAACCATTTCAAACCAAACACAAAAAATTTAATGCAAAATTAGCCTGCATAAAATGAAATTCTCAGTTAAGGAAATTCTATTCAAGGATGTTACAGAAAGTGATCCCAGGTGAAAGATCTGTGATGACAGAAGCAATGTGGATCTGAGGGGTATACCTGTGGATTAAAAAAAAAATGCTCATTAGTTGTATAAAACATGACTGATATTCCATTGTGAAGTTAAAAACATGGAATTATCATGTATAGCCTCAATAACACATATATTGATATGGAAAAAACTGATTAATGTTCTACGTCACTTTTTTTAAAAAATGACAATAAAATTGGATGTATTTACCACATACAACATGATTTAAAGTATATATACATTGTAGAAAACTAAATCTAGCTAATTAACATATTCCTATCTCACATAGATGTCATTTTTATGGTGAGAACACTTTATAGCCACTCTCTTAGCATTGTTAAAGATATATGAACTACATTCACCACACTATTGAATAGATTTCTTGAACTTATTCCTCCTAACTGAAATTTTGTATCCTTTGACTAACATTTCCCCAACCCCTCAAAATGCCCAGCCGATGGTAATTACCATTCTGCTCTTTTTATGAGATCAACTTTGTTAGATTTCATGTGAGTGAGATTATGTGGAATTTGTCTTTCTGTGCCTGGCTTACTTCACTTAACGTAATGTCCTCCAGGTTCATCAATATTGTTGCAAATGACAGGATTTCATTCTTTTTTATGGCTGACTACTATTCCACTGGCCATATGCCACATTTTCTTTATCCAGTCATCCCTCAATGAACACCTAGGTGGTTTCCCTATCTTGGCTATCATGAATAATGTTGCAATGAACATGGTCATGCAGATATCTCTACTAGCGGTTGATTTCATTTCTTTTGAGTATATGTCCAGAAGAGGGATTGCTGTATCACATGGTGGTTGTAGTTCTATTTTTATTTTGGGGGAACCTCCATACTGTTTTCCATAATGGCTGTACTAATTTATATTCTTTTTTTTTTTTTTTTTTTTTTGAGACCGAGTCTCACTTTGTTGCCCAGGCTAGAGTGAGTGTCGTGGCATCAGTCTAGCTCACAGCAACCTCAAACTCCTAGGCTCAAGCAATCCTCCTGCCTCAGCCTCCCGAGTAGCTGGGACTACAGACATGCGCCACCATGCCCAGCTAATTTTTTGTATATATATTTTTATTTGGTCAATTAGTTTCTTTTGATTCTTTTAGTAGAGACGGGATCTCGCTCAGGCTGGTTTCGAACTCCTGACCTTGAGCAATCCACCCGCCTCAGCCTCCCAGAGTGCTAGGATTACAGGCATAAGCCACCACGCCCAGCCACTAATTTATATTCTTACCAACAGTATGCAAGGGTTCCCTTTTCTCTATATCCTCCCAACACATTATCTTTTCTCTTTCTGATAATGGCCATTCTAACAGGTAGGAGGCAGTATCTCATTGTGGTTTTAATTTGCATTTCCCTGATTATTAGTAATGTTGAATATTTTGTCATATAGTTGTTGGCCATTTGTATGTCTTCTTTTGAGAAGTGTCTATTTGTGTCTTTTACCACTTTTTTAATCAGGTTATTTGTTTTCTAGATACCGAGTTGAGTTCCTTATATATTTTGGATATTAACCCCTTATCAGATGTATAGTTTGAAAATATTTTCTCCCAATCTAAAGGTTGTCTCTTCAGTCTGTTGATTGTTTCCATTGTGGTGTAGAACTTTTTAGTTTGATATAATCCCATTTGTCTATTTTTACTTTTGTTGCCTGTACTTTGGGGAGTCATTGCTCAGGCCAATGTCATGGAGCTTTTCCTCTTTGTTTTCTTCTAGTAGCTTCACAATTTTAGGTCTTACATTAAGTCTTTAATCCATTTTGACTTTATTTTTGCATATGGTATGAAATAAGGGTCTAATTTTATTGTTTTGCATGTGGACATCCAGGTTTCCCAACACACTTACTGAAGAGACTATTCCTTTCCCATTGTGTGCTCTTGGTGCCTTTGCTAAAAATCAGTTAACTCTAAAGGTGTGGACTAATTTCTGAGCTCTCCATTCTGTTCTATTGGTTTATGTGTCTGTTTTTATGCAAGTAATATCCTGTTTTTGTGACAATAGCTTTGTAGTATATTTTGAAGTCAGGTAGTATGATACCTCCAGCTTTGTTATTTTTGCTTAGGATTGTGTTGGCTATTTGGGGTCTTTTGTGGTTTCATATGAATTTTAGGATTTTTAAAAAAATATTTGTGAAGAATGGCATTGTATTTTGGTAGGGGTTATGTTGAATCTGTAGATTGATTTGGGTAGTATAGACATTTTAACCATATTAATTCTTTCAATCCATGAACATAGGGTATCGTTCCATTTGTGTCTGCTTCATTTTCTTTCACTAGTGTTTTATAGTTTTTAATGTAGAAATCTTTCACCACCTTAATTAAATTTATTCTGAAGTATTTTATTATTTTGTAGCTATTGTAAATGGGACTGTTTTCTTGATTTCTTTTTCACTGTTAATATATAGAAATGCTACGGATTTTTGTGCATTTTGCATCCTACAACTTTATTGACTTCCTGTATTGGTTTTAACAGGTTTTTTTAAAATGGAATCTTTGGGGTGTTCTATATATAAGATCGTGTTATCTATAAACAGGGAAAATAAAGAACTCTGAGAACCAAGGTACAATCCGGGAGAGAGAGGGCCTCCAACTGCTAGGATGCAGGGATTCAGATGCAGGGAAAGCCGTGGTTAGAACAGATAAAAATCACCTGAGGGAGGATGGGGTTAATCTTCCGAATGAATTCTCATACGGCAAGTAACATTATTCCTTTGGCTGAATGACATGCCACAGAAGTTATATTTAAAAGGTCTTTCCACAGTATGAGTTCTCTGGAGCCGACTGAAGTGTGCGCAGGTGTGAAAGACCCTCCCACGTTTCTCTCCACTATGAGTCCTTCAATGGCTAGTGGAGGATGAGCTAAAGCTTACAACTGCACATTTGCCGCCCTCATGGGGCTGCTCCCCAGTGTGACACCTGTTTTGAATTAAGGACAGCTAGTCACAAAGGGCTGTCCCTCCTTCTTTACACTCCAAAGACTTTCCTCCAATGTCCTATGGTGCAAGACAAAAGCAGAGTGGTGGGTGAAACTCTGCATTCATTGTTTTTATAGGGTTTGTTCCCAGGATTAATTCGCATGTGTCAAGTTAAGGAAGAGCTGTCACAGGAGGATTTTCTGCTTTGCACTCCAGCAATTTCCCCCCACTGGATAAAATGAGAATGGTCTCTAAGGGTATTTCCACATTTACTGCACTTACAGGCCTTCTCTCTAGTGTGCATATGCTGGTTCTCTGTGACATGAGACCTGCAGCTGAAGGCTTCCACAGACTCCATATACAACTTTGGCTTCTCCCCAGTATGGATGTGTAGTGCTGAATGAGGTTTTCCCTCTTGATAAAGGCTCTCCCATACTCATTATCTTCACAGGGCTTCACTCCAGTGTGAATCCGCTGATGTTCAAGAGGAAAGCAATCATATTTTCAACACGAATTTGGTCATATACTGAGATATCAACAACTGTAGGGGTAGTGAAGGTTTGGAGTAAGGTGTGAGTGTCTGAGAGAGCTGCTGCTGGAGACAGAGTTGACCAGAAGCACAGAGCAGATTTGCAGAGATCAGCTGGGAGTCTGTTAGCATCCGTCAGGCAAGAGAGGATGACACCGTGTTAGCGGTGGAGCTGACTGAGCTGATGGAGGTAATAGATTCAGGAGAAGTGTGTGCTGTGAAATGAACAGAACTTGGGAACGGCTAGATGTTGGGTTTGATGGTGATCAGCTAGGTCAAGAGGTTGAGCTATTGTCTGAAGTTGTTTCTTGGCTTCTCAACTTCCTGGATAGCAAGGCCACTCACTACAACTGGGGAGGTGGGAGGAGTGGGCAAGATCATGAGTTCCTTCTTAGGCATGACAATCAGAAGTGCCTTTGAGGCATTCACATGGAGATGTGGGACTGGGGAAAAGTGTTAACTTTTGGAACAAACTCCAAGGAGCTGAGGAGGGGTTGACCCGAAACATGCAGCTGGCTGCGCAGCCCAAGAGATTACTAGAAAGGAAGACCATCAATCCATGGTGGTGCCGACTAACACAGTGATGGCTCCCAGGTGCCTTCAGCAGCCCAGGAGGCCAAGACACCCCAGGGTTTTACATGAGAGAAGCAGCAGGGAGACATGGATAAATGACTACTTTTGAGTGCCTGACAAGCAGAACAATGCATGGAACACACAGACAATGGATGGATGAAGAAGGTGGGAAATGGTGGGATGCAGAGTATAGGTGGAGATAGAAATTGGTAGAAGAAGAAAGACTCTTATCCACAAGAGTAAACATAAGTGTCCATCAACAGATGAATGGATAAAGATAATGTGGGTTATATACACAATGAAAGAAGGAAATTCTATCATTTAAAACAACAACATGGATGAACTTTGCTAAGCGAAGTAAGCCAAGCACAGAAAGACAAATACTGCATGATTTCACAGGTGGAATCTGAAAAAGTCAAACTCATAAAAGTAGAGAGTAGAATGATGGTTACTAGGGCCTGAGGGGAGAGGAAGGGGAAAGGGCAGATATTGATCAAAGGGACTAAACTTCAGCTGGACAGGAGGAATAAATTTTAGTGCTCTATCGCACAGAATTGTGACTACAATAAATAATAATGCATTGTATATCTTAATATTGCTATAAGAGTAGACTTTAAATGTTTTCACCACAAAATGATAAGTATGTGAGGTGCTAGATTTAGTCATTAGTTTGATTTAATCATTTCACATGATAAACGTGTACCAAAGCATCATATTGTACCGCATAAATATATATGATTATTTGCCAATTAAAAATAGAATTTAAAAATAAGTAAATAAAAGAAGTTAAAATGTTATTAACATTATTCATTGTGATTAATATGCATAATACCAATATAAATAGCTAAGTCCTTTTGAGCCAGTATGTTTCAGGCACTATCCTACACAGTTCCATACATTATTTAACTACACCCTCAAATAATCTGGTGAGATAAAATTATTATTACCATCATTTTCTCAATGTAGGCTTTATTTTTATCAACATTTTCTAAATGTTTCTAAATGTAGGCTAAGTGTAGCCAACTGAGTATGTTCACCAAACCCATCTGCTCTTCTCCTTGGACACATGGCTAAACCATTTTCTAGCCCTGAGAATCCAGGTGTGGCCAGATGCTCACTGTTTGTTAAGAGAGAGGCAACAGCAACGCGTGTGTGTCAGTGGGTACGACTCCTTCATTTTCTCTCTCATTTTCTCTCCGCCAGACAGATAATTCCGGGGAAGCTTTAACTTAAACCACGTGTTGACAATAGAATTATTCTTATTTCCTGAATAGCTGTGTGGTACACAGCTCCTACTTACTTGCATGGACCTTGGCATGAATAAGGAAAGGAAAAAGACAAAAACAAATACTCTTCCTGTACTACGATGCTAGTATGATGACGTTTCTGTGTTATGGTAGTGAACATTAACTTAGCAAGCTTTATCACTGATGAAATCCAGGCTCACAAGGCTAGACGGGGCAAGCCAAGTATTGAGCCCAAAGACACGGAGCCTAGAGCCGGATTTTTACCTAATACAACCTACTCCTCACCCAGTAGCCTGGAAGAGTATAAAGGGGTAAAGAAGGTAGGTCCAATGGCTATATGGATCCCAAACCCCTGGGGAGGTCACAACAAGAGGCTTCCCTCTTCCTAACAAGAAGTTCCCTACTAGTCTGCACTGTGCAGGGACCCCCATCTGCTGAGCTCCCGGCCACTCACCTAGACAGGATCTTTAGGAGAACTTTCTCCTCACCACACAACGTTCTTGATCATATTTCAGCACATAGATCAGTTCTGGTTTAGAGAGATGATTCCCTATCATGGAGAAATAGGATAGCAATATTTGGGTAAAGATAAGAATTAACCTCTATATTCAGTATCATCTTCAAGAGCAAGAATGAGATCTCACAACGAGGCTTCTCCCAGCCATGCAAAGAACATAATGACCTCTAATCTGAAAACCAATAGCACAAACACCATCCTTGGGCCCAAAGTCTACCAGTGCTAGGTATTGGAGAGAGAGTGTGGGCTTGGTTTAATTCTTGGCTTAGTTCTTGATTTCAATTCCTGTATTTGGCCCCTCATGGCACCCGGCTGGACACAGGGAGACCGAGAGAGAGGAGGGGAGACAGAAACACAGCAGGAATCATGGGTAGAAGGGAGGGTGGGCTCCAGAGGCCTTCCCTATCAGCCAGGCCTGGAGTGAGAGGGTGAAATGAAGGAGGCTTTCCCCACATAGGAGAGAGTTCAGCCTTACCTTGTGACATGAGCAACCCACAGGTCTCCATTATTACGTCCCCATACAAGGTCTGCTGGGCCACGTCCAGTTGTCCCCACTCCTCCCAGGAGAATGTTGTGGCCAAGGCCTTGAAGAGTGTCAACACCTGGAAAGGCAAACAGAGAGTCACATTGGCCTTGGTGCTGCTGGATGAGATTAGAGCATGTTGCTCGATCATTGCAAAGGTGCACAGACACCTAAGGTCTGAATTACTGTACGCTGAGCTCTGTTTTGTGCTCACTGTAGAGGAAGATGCTGCTTTTGGACCTAGTGCAATTGTCTAGAGAAAAGAGAAAAGTCTTCGGTGGGAAAGCCATTGGAGAATAACATAAAGTTAGGACAAACTCATGGGGACTGCAAGATGCTCTGGTAAATCAGAGAATGGGGGAATAATGATAAAAATTCCAACAATGATAAGAGCAGCTGATCCTCACTGGTCCACACTATGCTGAGGGCTTCACAGGTTGTGGTTAAGTGTCTGAAAGTCCCAGCTCTGGATCCCAATTCCCAGGTTTCAGACCAGCCTCTACAAACCAAGATTTTCCAGGTGCATGACCTTGGGAAAGTCAGTTCATTTCTTTGAGCCTCAACTTCCCCATTGATACAATATAGTTCCTCCTTTAGCAGGTTATTGTGAGAATTAAAATGTTTCAAAAGCAAACACTGGAGTGGGCGAAAGAAAAAATAAGGACTCGTGTGTGTGTGTGTGTGTGTCTCTGTGTGTGTGCGCGTGCAAACACTTTTTGAAGTTTGGAAGTTTCTCTTTCTCAATAATTAGTCGACTTTACATTTTAGGAGAGTTTCAGATTTACATGAAAATCCAGCAGATAGCACAGGGTTCCCATGTTACCACTCTTCTATACACACAGTCTCACCCATTATTAACATCTTACATTGGTATGGGATGTTCTTAACAACTGACCCAATGTTGGTACATTGTTATTAATTAAAGTCCATAGTTTATTCAGATTTCCTCAGTATTTATATAACACCATTTTTCTATTTCAAGATCCCATCCAGAATACCTCACTGAATTAGTTATGTCACCATAGGCTTCTCTTAGCTGTGATAGTTTCTCAGACATTACTTATTTAAAAAAATGTTATTATATATATATTTAAGGTGTATAACATGATATTTATATATATATATATACATACTCACATAGTGAAATGCTATCTTTCCTTCTGTTATTTTTCTTTTGCCTACTATAGTTAAGCAAATTAATGTATCCATCATCTTACAGTTACCCTTTTCTATGTGTGTGGCAAGAACATCTAAAATTTATTCTTTTCGCAAAAATCCCAAATACAATATATTATTATTAACCATAGTCCTCATGTTGTACATTCTGCCATTTGCCATAACATGGATGAAACCAGAGGACATTGTGCTAAGTGAAATAAGCCAGACACAGAAAGAAAAACATTATATGATATTTCACCTAAATGTGAAAGCTAAAAAAGACAAATCAAATATACAGAGATAGGCCGGGTGTGGTGGCTCATGCCTGTAATCCTAGCACTCTGGGAGGCCGAGGCAGGCGGATTGCTCAAGGTCAGGAGTTCGAAACCAGCCTGAGCAAGAGCGAGACCTCGTCTCTACTATAAATAAAAAAGAAATTAATTGGCCAACTAATATACATAGAAAAAATTAGCCAGGCATGGTGGTGCATGCCTGTAGTCCCAGCTACTTGGGAGGCTGAGGCAGGAGGATCACTTGAGCCAGGAGTTTGAGGTTGCTGTGAGCTATGCTGACGCCATGGCACTCACTCTAGCCTGGGCAACAAAGTGAGACTCTGTCTCAAAAAAAAAGAAAAAATACGGAGATAGAGAATAGAACAGGGAGATTTAGACTTTGCTTGTTTTTTTTTGTTTTTTTTTGAGACAGAGTCTCAGTCTGTTGCCCAGGCTAGAGTGAGTGCCGTGGCATCAGCCTAGCTCACAGCAACCTCAAACTCCTGGCTCAAGCAATTATAGCAATTATATTGCAGTAGCAATGAGCGTGACTAGTGTCCAAATCTTTATTCTGATACAATTCTCCAACTAAATGAACCTGGGACTACAGGCATGCACCACCATGCCCAGCTAATTTTTCTATTTTTTGTACAGATAGGGTCTTGCTTTCTAACATTCATGGAACTTGTTAGTCCTTTCTCCAGTGTGGATTCTTTGGTGCTGAACAAGCAAGGGTTTGTATCTCATGGCTTTCACATGTTTGTTGCCCTCATAAATCCCTTCTGCAGTGTGGGACTCTCTGGTGCTGAACAGTGTGTGTTTGCGGTTGAAAGCTTCCCTGCATTTGCTGCACCTGTAATGATTTTTCCACTGTGACTAGTGCCCCCCACTCAATGGGGCTTATGTGGCTTCTCCTGTAAGTGGCCTGGTGCTGGAGAAGTTCCTGAACTGACCAGGAAATACTGCCAACCTCCCCATAGGTAGTGGACTTCCCTGTCACATGGAATCTTAGCCCTTCCCAAGCACGGTCCTACCTATATCCCTTCCGAAGAGTTTGTCTCTACTGAAAGACTCATTTCCCACGTGCCCACAAGTGTGTGGTTTCTGCCTGCGGTGTGTTCCTTATCCTTAGAAAAAGGCAAAATGTCTTTCAAGACCAAGACACACATGTCACAGGGGTGGGCTTTCTAAGGAAAGGCATCTTCCTTGGGGGTACTGACCTGTGACATTTCTCCTACAGAAAAATGCTGCTTCAAATATGCTTCCTCATATTCGATTCCACGCCAAAAACCTGAAAGCAGAGAAATGCCAGTGAATTGCATGTCAACTTTGGTGAGAAGGGGGACACCATCACAAATGTGTATCTGCATACCCATGAATTCGTCTATGTCAACTCACAGGAGTGTTTCCAAGAGGACAGAGTTTGGGTCAGGTTGAGGAAGTAGTTGTTGTGCAGTAATGGTTTTCTGATGGTCACAGCATGGGGAAGCTTCACCAGGAAAAGCACACAAGGATGGGGTGCAGCAAAGAGGAGAGGAAGGATCTATAACTCACTTGTCTGTCACTGGTTTTCAGCACTTGTCTTGTATGCTGATGACAGGTGAGTGCTGTGAAGGGTGTGTCCAGGCCCAAGAAAATCCAATTTCTACAGGACAGCTCATGCGCAGAGACTACTTAAGGACACGTGCACACCTCACGACACAGTATGTATGCAATGTTGGAGAACATCATGAGAGGGAGCTGAGGACAGGCATGCATAAGATGTGGAATCCAGAGAGCTGAGGATGGGCCCTGAGCCAAGAGTCAGTTTAGAAATGACAAGTTGGCAAAGTGTCAAAAATGAGAAAAGAAAGGTTAAAATGAGGTGTGGGCACTGGCATTGGCACCAAAACAGTAGTGTAGACAGGACTGGTTCATGGTATGGTTTGAACACAGTCCTGATGTCATGCCCTCTCACCTGCCACTTAATAGGGCCAGGGTCCCTCTGAGTCTATTTTGTGTGGCTGGAATCATCTCCACCCCAGGAGGCACCCATAGCCCTTCCCCCCACCTCGTGATTGCACCCAGTACCTGAATAATGCAAGAACTAAGGGAGAGACTGAATGAGTGGGCGGCTGGCACTGGCCCAGAGCAACATACTATACATAAGAAAACCAAATATCACAAAAAGGACCTCAGAAGAGGACATAACTAGTGACCATGTCAGTGACTGCCATTCCTGGCACAGGCAGATGTGAGCCTGTGTCAACTAGAGGAAGCGAGCAGAACCAGGGCAAAGAGGTCACCTGGCCAGGGAGAGAGAAAAGTGGGATCCCAAAGGCTGACTGTAAGAGTCCTGATCCCCTTCCCCATAAGGCTCTGGAGCAGCAGGTACTGGGTTGTCTGAGAAGAAGATAGGGCAGTACAGCCAACCTCTCAGCCCTCCCAACCAGTGAACCTACTTGGGAAATGGAGGAAGGAAGAAGTGTCCATTGTCCTAATGTGGAAAGGATGAATCCATACCCGGGAAAAAGAGGAAAGGCAGAGCCTAGTCTAAGGCGTTAGGGCGGCGGTGAGGGTCTTACCTACAGAGGCAGTAAGTGCGAAGTTCTCCAGCATCACATTGTAGTACAGGCATTTCTGAGCTTCATCAAGGAGATCCCATTCCTCCGTGGAGAAGTACACGGACACATCCTTAAAGGTCACAGTGCCCTACCATGATGAGGACAGATGAAACCACAGACAGTCTCTCTCCAGAGAGCCCCCAATCCATCTTTCTATATATCTATCCCACACTCATACTCCTGTCAAGCTCCACGGCTCACAGGAAATACCAGACCCTGGTGCCATTTGTGCCTGACCCCTCCCTATGACCCCAGTAATCTCCATGTCCAGTGCTCAGCAACAAGCAGGTGGGCAGATGGATGACATTTAAGTTCTGGGCCTGCCAGGCAGGGCCCCACCCAGTCTAGCCAGGACATTACCAGGCAATCCCCTAGATGGTACCTCCCAAACACAATGAAACTTGGGTTCACCCTTCATCCTTAAGGCCCCAACACCAGGGCCCTGAGGATATTAGTTCATGTTCCCTCTCCACAGGCACGTCATTCTGCAGACTGTACTTCTCTCATACCTCTGGATCCCATAGATATGGGGCAGCTCTCTGCCCTCCCCACGTGCCACTCCCCACATGGCATCAGGAGAGAGTGGCAAATTCAAACAGGATCCTGCACTTCCCCAGACCTCTAATGGCTCCTGCTGCCAGAAGCAGTCCATTAAAACCTTACTTTCTGGCTGTTTCTTGAATCAAACTCAGCCATCCAGAATGACAAGCAGACTTCAGACACCTCTCGGAATCCCACCTGGCCAGTGACTGTACCAGACAACCATATTTGCCCCTGAGCTAATTGATGCTGGTGCATCCATAGAGCTGTGAATAAGAATCAGCCCTGGCCTCAGTGTCATTTCCTCCTGGTTACTCCCATGCCCATGTATCCGTATGAACATCTGTTTTCCCTTAGAAGCCTTGGCAACTGCGAGATCATCCTTTCCTCACACCTACCCTTCATGCTCAGTTCTCTTGCTCCAACATGCTTGTGATACGTGATCCTCACCACCCCCAACCAGGTGCTCAAGCAAGAGGTGCAGTCCTCAGCCCCACCCTCCCTTTCCTGGCTGGTTGAAAGCATTACCATCGTGACTGGAAGATTACATATAAGCCCCCCTGACTCAGGATCCTGGGCTTAGGGTTTCTAACAGTCCCCAGGCCCAAAGGTTAAGAGAGTGGCAGGCTGAGTCCCAAGGCACTGTAATCCCAAAGACATGTGGGTAGGGGACTGAGATCAGTGAGGGCCCACTCACCATTATAGGGTACATAAACATCTCTGTGTCCATAGCAACCTGTGAGAAGAAGTAGACCATGAGAAGCAGGCAAGCCTTGAAGGGTTCCATGGGCTCAGACCTCCATTGCACCTCTGCCCAGCCCTGGAACCAGGTAACCTTGGGCTGACTGTATCACCTTTGTATTGCAATCCTTAGTAATGCTTCTTACCTGTTCTGTGACTTTAGATAAGAATTCAATCTCCCTGTACCTCCCAGTCCTCCTCATTCCTCTTCTAGTCTTTTTCCTCCAAGCAGATTTTGGGAAATTTTTAAAGCCTTAACTTATAACTCAGACTGTGTCCCTCCTCTCTTCACAACCCTCCATGGATCCAAGCACCATCAGAATGAGGGTCCACCTTGCTGCTTGCCATTCCAGGTGTGACTTCTCTCACACTCTGGTGTAGACACAACACAGATCCCAGGTTTCCTGAATGCTCTCCCAGCTCAGACATCCCTCCACGCCTTTGCACATGCTAATCCCTCTGTCTGTAACGCTTCTCCATGCCTCGTCATACTGGCTTTCAGAAGTGGGGACATCACGCAAGAGTCCCCTTTTCCCCAGACTGGACACTAGGGCATAGACTGCAGTGACCTGAACCAAGTGTCCTAATTTGAGGCTTTAAGGCTACAAAGTAGGGTCGAGGCAGGTGAGGGCCCAGGGGACATAACACCAACTTGTGCTGAGTCCAGCAGTGAAGCCACCGGGGTCTGAGCTTGTGAGCAGATGGTGCTAGAAACCGTGGGTAGGGGCAGCGGCATCACCGCCTCCAGCCTGGCCTTAACACGTGGTGACCATGGGTGGTCCCAGCGCCAAACCCCAGAGCTTCAGACTCACCTCTGTGCAGCGGAGACAATGCTTCCTCTAAACCCCTCTGTTTCCTGTCGCCTCAGACCTGGCTCTGGAGTTTCTGATCCAGCTAACCAGCCCCACAGCAGGCCGAATGACCCCCGACAAAGCCAGACCAGAAGTCCCGCCCCACCTCACGCCAAACTCGGAATCCGCCATTCTCCTGTGCTTTCATTGGATGAGGATGCTGCTGCTCGGCACAGAGCATTCTGGGTAAGAGGGGAACCCGCCATTTTTCTGTGATTTCATTGGATGAAGGGCTGTTGCTCGGTGCAGAGCATTCTGGGTAAGGGGAACTTAGTTCTCGCGGCTCCACGCGAGGCGAGGGTTGCTCCCCTCATCCCCCACCATCTTGTGGAGAAGGTGTTCTCAGCCTCTGAAGAAAAGGAAGGAGCCAGATTTCTGGAGGGTGTTGTCAGCCGTCACCAAAGTGTTGAGACGGTATTTCATACTACGTCAAAGTCGGCCTGCTCCCAGGGGCTAAAGTTTCGCTCAGTTTGTTTCCAGTGTTCCCAAGACTACAAACCCGAGTGGAATTACCATTACATAGTGTTACCCCCAACGTGCGTGTGCTCGTAGCTGGGAACTAATTAACTTATTTCCCTTCAAATGACTGTGGCGCGAACCGTTAGAGTCAGTTTCGTGAATTTCAGTCTCTTCGGTCTGAGACAAGGCGAGAAAGCCCCTGGGGCCATGATGGGAAAGACAGAAGAGAGGTGTTGAGCTGCCCCCAAGCAAGTGGACATGGTGGCGCTAGCGTTTCTCTGCTTTTCTCTCAAGTCTCGGAGCTGGATCCACCGCTCCCCAATCTCCTGCGTGAGAGTCTGTTGGAGAAGCCAGAGTCGGGATTGCCTCCGCTCGCAAAGGTGGGTTCCTCGGGCGCCCCTGGCTCCGGCTGGTAAAGGTGGGGCTGACCTTAGGCGCGCGAGGGTGCGCAGCCTGTGAAGGGAGAAGCAGAGCCCAGACCTGTGCAGCCAAAGGTCAAGACTTAGGTCCTGGGGCAGAAAGCCCTGGATGCAACTTCCGGCGCGAGCAGGCGAGCAGTCGGGACTAGCCTTCTGGGCAGGGAGCAGGGGCTTAAACCCAGCACCGTCCTCAGTCCTACTCGGGCCACCCTGCCCCTCGTCTGAGCTGCATCAACCACGAGGGGCATGTGTAGTTGTCCAGGGAGTTGTATTCCTTTTCACCCCCCTCCACCGCCCCCCCCCCCGCCCCAGCTGGACCTTTTAGCGTAGACATACATGAGCAGAGGAGGTCCGAGTGTGTGAACAAACAGTACTGGGTAAGAAAACACACTGCAGGATTAGGTTAGCCGTGAGTGTCACACAGTGTTAGAAAGAAAACAAATGGGATGCTGTGCCGTAACAAGCAGTGTGTTACACACACAAGTTATGTGTGTAACCATAACAAGATTAGGGTAGCCGCAACTGTCACAAGAAATGTAGCCAAGGCAACACAGAGCACATTACCTGTTGTAGTTTGTCCTCCTTCCCTTTCTCCGAGAGGGCTTTGGACACCACAGTACATCTGCGCTTAAACATGATAAGGTGAAAAACTGTCCCCGTGTGACAGCAGGAGGGAATTGACATCCTAATTGGTCAAGAAAGAAAAAGGAAAAGAGTCAACTTCATTTACTACAGTGACATGGGCTAAAAAAAATAAAAAGAAAAAAAAAAAAAAGAAAGAAAAGAGTCAACTTCAGGAAGGAGGGGAGGCCAGGCAAGAGAAAAGGGGATGGCACAGAGACTCGAGTGCCAATGTCCACTGGTCCGTGTGCCTGCTCCTACCTTTCTGGAGTGTACTATTGCTTGCTAACCTTTCTTGGCAGTCTGCCTCCAAGTCTGGAGCTATACTTGCTTAATAACATTTGCTGCTTCAAAACTGTCTCTTGCTTTCATTCTTCAGTTGCCAGAAGATAAGAAGCAAGGACTTCAACATCCAGTAATAGACCCACCCTTCCCCTCTTCCTTCCTAGTGGTCCCCTCTGAGATGTGACCTCAGATCAGACGTGGGCATTGCTGACTTGAAGAACATGCTCCACTAAGGAAAGGAACTAATGTTTTCCCCAGTCCTCGTGGGGCACACAGAAGAGTCACTACCCATCTGCTCCTCCCAGGCCCTAGCCCTTGTGATCCAGGTCCAGCCAGGAATGGTGCCAGTCTGGTTTGTGCCCTGAGGCACTCCAGGGCATGCATTTATGTTGTTAGGTAGGGTGGGAAAGCAGCCCAAAGCCATGGTATATTTCACCCAACATGAAATACTAGCAGGAAACTGACAATGAACAAGTACATGATAAACCCTTCCAAGGTCAAAGAGTGGGATTCTCATAATGCCCGCAGGATTCAATCTGCAACTGGTTGCATGAACCTGTGGCCAGGGGACTCTTTTCTACCCGTAGTTCCTCTCCCTTTAGGGGACGCAGCCTCTATCCCTTTGGAGATGCAGCAGGGATGCTATGGCACCATGTTATTCCTAAGGTGGTGTCTTTCTGCGTCTCCATTGAATGCTCGCAGTGTCCAGGGAGGTCTCTCCCCTCTGGCTGGTCAGGATTCTAATGACTCTAGCACAAGGGACCTCTGTGACCTCTATTCAGCTTTAGTCCCCCAGCACCTGTTCTCAGAGAGCCTTACAGAAGTCTTGCCCAGAACCCATTCCGTTATCCACTAAACACCCAGGGGACTCCATACAGATTTCTAGGGCTCCGTCTCTATGTATATCCCACTTTTCCGGGAGGCCCACAAGCAGTCCCAATTGCCTCAGCAGCCCTAAACTCTTATTTCTATTGCCTCCATCCTAAGCTCTCTGGGCTCCACTTCCCTGAGCAGTTTTGGCAAGTGTCAGGGAGTCTGGGAGGAAGGTTGGAGGCTGGACCACCAGTGCTGTGCTTTCCTCCAGCAGGAGCCTGCTTTGACTGTTTTCAAAGCAGGAGTTGAAGTCCCCAGCTATTACAATGCTGCTATTTATCATTTTGTTTAGATCAAGTAGGATTTGCTTTATGAATCTGAGTGCACCTGTGTTAGGTATGTAAATATTTAGAATTGTTATGCCTTCTTAGTGAATTGTTTCCCTTTATCATTATATAATGACCATCTTTGTCTTTCATTAGTTTTGTTGAAGACTATGTTATCTGATATGAGAACTGCTACGCCAGCTTTATTTTGGTTTCCATTTGCATGGAATATTGTTTTCCATCTCTTCACCTTGACTCTGAATGAGTCCTTGTGGATGAGATCTGTTTCCTGGAGACAGCAGATAATTGGCTTGTATTTCTTAATCTGTTCATCCAGCCTATGTATCTTGAGTGGGGAGTTCAAGCCATTCACATTTATTGAAAGAATTGATAGGTAAGGTGGATTTCTATTCATCCTGTTGGGTAGGACTTTGTTCCTTTGTTTTATTTCTTGAGCCCTTGTGGTATCTGGCCTTTGGCCTTTAGCTTTTGGATGATTTTACACTGGTTGATCTGTATATAATGCAGTTCTGAATACTTCCTGCAGGGAAGGTCTTATTTTGACAAACTACCTCAGTTTTTGCTTGTCTGAGAAGGTCTTTATTTCCCTCTCATATATGAAACTTAGTTTTATGGGATACAGAATTCAAAGTTGGCCATATTCTGTTTGAGAAGGCTGAGAAGGGGGCTCCATTCCTTTCTGGCTTGTAAGGTCTCAGTTGAGAAGTCTTCAGTTAGTCTGATGACAGAGTGAGACTCTGTCTCAAAAGAAAGAAAAGAAAATGGCGAATGCCACCAGGAGACAGAAGAGAGGATTTGGGATGAGCCCACCCAGGTCATCTCTGGAGTGACATTTTGGGGCTACAGGACCTGCAACTGTAATAAAAGCCCAGAGACAGAGATATGCTGCCAGTGGCTGCTGAGACCAGACTGGTGAAGCCTGGGGTGACATATATGTTATTTAACTGAATCCTCATTTTACAGATGAGGAAACAGCCTCAGAAGGATGAACTGGCTTGCCCGTCAGTGGCAGGGCCTATCCCAGTTCTGCCTAACTATAGTCCCCATGCTCTCAGTGGCCACATGTGTCACATCTCCTCACCATCCCCCAAAGTCTCCTGCTCCTCACACAGACACCAGGCACACGTTGCTGAGCTGCAGGTGTTTTATTGGAATCAACCTAATAAAGACGGGATCAGGTGGGGACAGATATCTGGATTCCAGCTTCAGGTGAGAGGGAGAACAGGGCAGGACGAGGGAGCTCAGATCGGGCAATGATTCATCTCTTAAAAAGGTTCAGCTTGGAAAGTCCTTTTTGGATATCATTCTTCACTTCTTTCAGTGAAGACTTGAGGCAATCTTTACTGAAGGTGATGGAGCCCTGGGAGAGTGAGACAAAGAGGGACAGAGGTGGCAGCGGGCAGGTCCTGGACCCTCAGCAGGGCTACCCAAACCCTCGCATCATCCCAGTCCTCCCCCACAAGGATGAAAAGTTCTCAGTGATTTCGCTCCATCCCCAGCAACAATGGGCCACAGGCCCACCCTGGAGAGGGGGCTGCAGTCAGACCAGGATGAGGATGGCTCCCTGATACCCATGCACAAGTCTCAGGAGGGAGTCTGAACAACCACCCCAGCCAGGGAGGGAAGGAGATGAGAAGGTTCTGGAGGGAATGGAGGAGGCTGAACCCAAGGGAGGGGCAACGTGGCTCAGTGTGGGTTCATGTGAAGCACCTGAGACCCATCTGTCAGCTATACTGGATGTATAGAATGTGTATGCATGTGTTGTAAACGATCCCATGTGCCCTTTGTGCATATGTGAGTATAAGAAATTCTGCTGCTTGAAAAACCTCTCATTTTGCAGAATCAAACCATCAAAACAAGAGCATTTTAGGAAAAATAGGGTGAGAGACAGACTATTCAAAATCTCTATAACTGTGTAACAAAAACAATAGCAACAGCAATGAAAAGTTCATCAGGTGTCAGGCCTGGTGGCTTTTGCTTATAATCCTAGCATTTTGGGAGGCTGAGGTGGGAGGATTGCTTGAGCCCAGGAGTTTGAGGTTAGGTTGCAGTGAGTTATGATGACACCACTGCACTCTGGCTCCAGCAACAAAGCAAGACCCTGTCTAAAAAAAAAAAAAAAAAAGGAAAAGAAAAGAAAAAATAGTCCATCAGCAAGTATATTGGATAATTCTGGTGAGCAGCTGCATGTAACTAATGTAACTAGAGGCTGCCTCGGGGGCTTTGGGAATCAAAATCATAGGGATAAATGGCTTGTGGACACTGAGACTGTACAGATGGAAATAGGACTCCATCTGCGCCAGTGGAGGAGACATCGAGGTGGGCAGCAGAGGAAATGAAACTAGCCAATAGGCAGAAGCCTTACAAGGCCAGGGTGTTTCTTCCCAGAGAAGGAGTCCAAGGGCAGGTGCTCATCTTTAAAATTCGTAGGTTAGAGCTGACAGGGCTCTTACCTGTGCAGGAGCTGAACTAAGGACTCTTTCTTTGCTGCCAAATGTTAAAATTCTTCCCCTGCTATATTAGCTCCCCTAACCTAGGGGGGAAAATCAGAAGGGTCGCACTAGGTTGTGCTGATAGCATTCCCCTATTTATCAGTTGTGTGTAAGCTAATTGGTGTCAAAAGAAGAGGTGAGGCAGCAGGACAGGGTGGACGTGCAGGTGGCATGTGGGTGCATATTATATGTGCGGTGGGGTGGAGCAGAGGTTTGGGTGCTTGACCGTTTGTGGATTTCGTCTGTCGTGTCTCAGACGAGTGCATGGTCTATTAGTGTGTGTCGCATTAGGACCTGCTGCATGTGGAGCAGAGGGAGGGCATAAAGAGGAAGTTACCAGGGCTATCGTATCTAGGAACTTGGCGTCGCGTCCCCCTTCATTGTAGCAAGCCTGGATTTTTTCAAAGCCTGCCTTTTCTGGTATGGTAGCATTGACAAAATCAAGGGAGAGGTCCAACAGGTTCTTGTTTCCAAGGGCCAGCAAAGAAAAGATTCCATAAAAAGTAGGGCAGGCTTCTGCTGAAAACACAAACAGGAAAACAGCTCATTAAAGGAGCTGCCAGGGTCGCGGGGCTGAGGTTCGTGTTTCCCTACCATTGGAAGGTGACTCATGTCTCCAGTGTCTCCTGACTGACCTTCTCCAGGACTGCTGACACCACAGACAGAGAGCACCCTCTCTGTGCGGCACTCCCAGAAGAGGGAGCAGTGTGAGGGGCCAGGACTAACAAGCCTTGTGTCTCAGACCACTGCCCCAGGCATACCAGCCTGCATGCTTCTGGCCTTCAAACATGCACCACTACCTCCCCTCAGGCTCCCCTACTGGGTGCACGTCTGCCTGCACGCCTCCCTCTCCCCTCCTCTTTCTCCATTCAGAGCCTGAGAGCCGCAGGGTTTTCTACGAGACCCCTGAGCAATAACCTCCCAGATGCCCCCTAAGTCTGTCCATAGGAGCTGCTCAGAGATCACCATGGGAGGGTGGAGGGAGATAGAGTGGGACACGGTCAGAAAGGCCATCTGTTCCCTCCTTCCCGCTCTCACCTGTCTTGAAGCCCAGCTCTCCAGTCACCAGCAAGGCCAGCACAAGCAGTGTCCCCTTCATAGTGTTGACTGCTGGAATGCTCTGCTCAGGGCAGGGTTTCTGCTGCTTTATAAACCACCGGCTCCCTGAGCCCAGCCCGCGCCCCTTCCAGGAGGTTCACATGCCTGCGGGCTGGGACCTGGAACATGTGGCTCCCTCAGGCCCCTGGGGTGATAAGCATGGGAAGCCCTTCCCACTGTCAGAAACAAAACCACTAGGATGCTTATCCTGATGCCGTTGGCCTTTGGACAGAAGTGGTTGTTTCTTTGACAAACAGCAACTGGAGCTGACCTTTCTAAGGCCAACAAATACTCTGTTGTCCCAACCCCAAATGTCACCTCTGCTTCCTGGCCATATCTTTCCCCTACCTATCCTGGCTCCAAACAAAATACCCTTCCCAAACGGGCAGATGGAAGTCACAGACGAGGTCAGGGACAGGTCGGAGTCACTGTAGGTAGCCAAAGGATCATGTAGAAAACTGACTTTTGCCTGAGCTAAAAACCTGGGGGTAAGAATGGGGATCTGGGCTTGACATGGGCCCCTTGAACATCTTAACTGCTGCAGTCTCTGGACCAGGCCCCATGGACAGGTGGGCTCCATCTTTGGGCTCTGAGTCACTCTCTGCCAGGGAAGTCCCAGGACTTGTGGCCTATGGTTTTTCTCAGGTGCTGGTATTGCTCTCATTTTTCCCACCAATGGGATCATGCCACCGGCTTCCCTCTCACCCCAAGGGAGCTGATTCCTAGGCTCCTTCTGGACTCCCTCTGGCCCCAGCCACATCCCTTCTCCTGGCCATCTCACCCTTCTCCATCAGTAAAAGTGGCCCAAGAGGGGCTGGACTTGCATAGCCCACCCAGTGATATAAGAAAACAGTGGGGGGCAGGACCCCAAGGTGTCCACAGCCCTACAGGCCACTGTGGACCAGAGCTCTGTAGATCAGAGTGCTGGGTAGACCAGAGGTGATGCTTTGTCTGCTCGGGCTTTCTTAAGAGTTCAGCTCACCCTTCTACTCTGAGAAAGCAGTTTGTTGGCACTGACATGATGTCCACAAGCACTCTAGCAGGAGGAAGCCTGAGAAAGCTCCGATGGTCAAATCTGGAACAATTTGAGCAATAGTATCAGATTATAACCCAGAGTATGAATTGATACACAATTGGTCCTCTAGTTGGTATCTGCGGGTTCTGCAGCTGCGAATTCAACCAACTGTGGGTTGAACATATTTGGGGGATAAAAATTCTGCAAAGGGCCAGGCGTGGTGTCTCACGCCTGTAATCCTAGCACTCTGAGAGGCTGAGGCGGGCGGATTGCTCAAGGTCAGGAGTTCGAAACCAGCCCGAGTGAGACCCCTGTCTCTACTAAAAATAGAAAGAAATGAATTGACCAACTAAAAATATATATACAAAAAAAAAAATTAGCCGGGCATGGTAGCACATGCCTGTAGTTCCAGCTACTCGGGAGGCTGAGGCAATAGGATCGCTTGAGCCCAGGAAATTGAGGTTGCTGTGAGCTAGACTGATGCCATGGCACTCACTCTAGCCTGGACAACAAAGTGAGACTCTGTCTCAAAAAAAAAAAAAATTCCGCAAAGTTCCAAAAAGCAAAACTTAAATTTGTTGTGTGCCAAGTGCTATGTTGAATTCACGTGAATGGAGGGGAGGAGATGCATAGGTTATGTGCAAATATTGCGTTTATATAAAGGACTTGTGTATCTTTAGATTCTGTTATCTGCAGGGGGTCCTGGAACAATCCCCCATGGATACCAAGGGATGCTGTAGTGTATCTAAACTTTTATAAATATGTGATTGAACAAACAAATGGGGAAGAAATGGCAAATATTCCTTGCAGCAGAATTCCAAATGGTATATGTAGATGCACCCACTCCAGGAGGTGGAGCTTATTGCCCCCCCCCCCTCGAGAGTGGGCAAGACATTTCCAAAGAAAAGAGTAGGGAAAGGGGAGACAGCAAGGAAACCTGGATCAGACAACGTAACTCGAGTGATGAAGTGATGAGTGATAACCAGTGATCAGACATCGATATCACACATGCCCTGACACAATGTGACAAGAAGGGCACTTCGCTTCTGTGGTGTCTTCCCCCAAATCCTATCCCCTGTCTAAATTATGCGAAAAACACCAGACAGACTCAGCTTGGTGGACTTCCCACAACACGCGGCCAGTCCTCCTCAAGATCGTCGAGGCCACAGCAAACAAGGCGAGGCTAAGAAACCGTCGTGGGCTGGAAGACGTGGTGTACGGCTGGCGGCTGGAGCCCAGTGCTCGGTGCCTCTCTGCCAAGAGCAGTTGCCAGATGTGAATCCTGTTTGGCTTAGATTCTAAGTGGAGATTAAAAATTTCGTGTCCTCCCTTTGGCTCTGCGGCTCCAGCAAACCTTATTCTGTCACTGAGAACTCAAGAGATGTTGGCCTGATTCGGGAGCGTTCTTTCCGTTTCCCTCGTCAAGTTTTCCTTTGTTTCTTCCCTTTGCCTTCCCATGTCACCTGACCCTTGCAAAAAGTCGCCAGAAGGGGAAGAGAGAATGAGCCAGTGTCCTTTGTCAACTCCGGACTTATCTTCTGCCAACATAAATTTGTCCCTCCACAGCCCCAGGCAGTTTCAAGGTGAGGCCTGGAGGCCACCTGGAAAAGAAAGTGTCAGACACAGCCCTTGCCCTCCCTCACTATGGGACCCAGAACACGTATAAAAGGGCCCTGGGGCAGGTAGGCAGTACCTGCCACTTGCACCATGAAGCTGGCCGGTGTGCTTGCGCTGCTCGGCGCTGCCTCATTCCTGATTTTGAGCGCAAGTGGGTGCCTGGGCCACGGGTGCCCGCGGATGTGGGTTCCCCAGGGCTTCTGACACCTTCCCCGGGCCCTTCTGACCACGCTGGGAGGGGAGGGGAATGGCTGGGTTCTGATAAATTCCTTCCCAGCGTGGGTCAGCTTATGCTTGTGTTCTAGATTGTGACATGTGCCCGCCTGTGGTGAAGGATGTCAACCTCTTTGTGACGGGAACCACTGAAGAATATGTTGGTTATGTGGGAAAATACCAACCACACCCTTTAGTATTGGAAAATGCTAAAGAACTAAAGGAATGTGTGGATAGAAAATTGACGGAAGAGGACAAGCAGAACGTGCTCACTGGGCTGGTGAGTCTGGCTGTGTGTCTGCACCTCTGTGCCACCCGGGCTTCTGCCCAGCAGGGGTGCGGGGCGCTCCTTCTCCTCCCCACCGCCACCCTCCCCAAGAGGGAAGAGAACCGTGTGAATGAGGAGACAGGATGGGGCAAAAGGCAGCAGTGTGGGGAAGGGCCAGCAAGGGAGACTCAACCCAGCCCTTGAGCTCCCGGGCCGGCACAGGCTGCCTGGCTCTGCGGAATCCCCTGGAACCTCCAGGGTCTCCTGTCTCCACGGCACCACCCGACTCTGACTCAGCCCCTTGGCTCAGGCCTCCCTGACTCTAGTGTCTCCAGCACGTGAGCCCAGATCTTCTTCAAACCATTAGTATTGGGTCCTTCCCTTCAAACATCAGTTCCTTTATCCTAACCCCTAAAGTTCCCTACTCCATCCCCCCCAAACCTTCATTTTCCCTGGATCCCAAGGGGCCATCCTGTGGCTCACACGCCAAGAGAGGAGGCCTCTCTAAAAGCCCCTGCCTACCCTCAGGCCTGGGGTACCCCCAGTGGAGAGTCATAGTGAATCCTTTCTCTGCTGCCCCAAGAGCTGTTGGGGACAAGTGGCAGCTTCAGCTGCAAGTGTCCAAGGGGCAGAAATAGGAAGTGAACGGGGATCAGCTCGTTCTCGGAGATTCCCAGGTGCCCAGACTCCCCGGGTCCTCCTCAGCAGCCTCTTTCCTTCTGCCCCAGACTGTGCCCCCAGCCTGGGCTGCCCCTCCTCTTCTTTTTGTTCTATTGGAAGGAGCTTTACCAGACTTATCAGGGACCCCTTGGGATGCTCTCATGGTGCAGGAGAGTGGGAGGACCCCCCTTTACCTGCTCAGGTCCAAAAGTCACACTCCAAACAAGGCTGCCGGCGCCTTCCCAGGAAGTGTCGGAGGGGTGCTCAGTGCAATTTGATGTCTCTCTGACCCCTGGGTCCTCACCAAGTTCCCTGATCTTCTCTTTGCAGGATAAAATATACTCAAACCAGCTGTGTTAAGGGGCCCTCCTTGCCGGAAGACCCGAGGAAGCCATCTGCCTGATCACTAAGTAGTCTCAGCAACCTGCCTTTCCCAGGTGTCTGACTAGAGGATTCCAGCAATAAAAACCTTGCAGTTCACGAGATGGTGCTTACTTATTCCTTGGACTGGAGGTTGGGTTTCCTAGGGGACAGGGCGCACAGTGGGGATGACTGGGGTGACATGTGACTGCAGTTGGATTTGAGTGCTGTCAGCTGTTGTTCCTCCATTGATTTCGATACGTGGCAGGGGTTGGGCGCATGACAGTCACAACAGCCAGAGTGTCTGATCATTTCATGGGCCAGGAGCCACAGGTCGCATACTTAATCTAGTAAATTTTAGCCTCTGAGCAAGGCTTGTGAGATAGGAGTAATCATTCTAGTCTTCCAGGCAAGGAAACTGAGGCTCAGCAAGGTTAGAGTATCTGCTGAAGGCCACATAGCCTCTAGGCAGCAGAATCCACTGCTGGGGAGACAAGCTCAGAACTCATTGTGCGCTGAGTACGTGTTACAGTCCTGCTCTGGGCCTTTGATTCCCACCTGTAAAATGGAAATAAACCTCCCATTGCCAGGGCTATGGAGAGGCCTAAGAAAATAAGGTGTCCCTGTCTCAAGTGCTTGACAGGAGAAAAGAAAAAAGGTCAAGGGGCCAGGCTCACGCCTGTAATCCTAGCACTCTGGGAGGCCGAGGCGGGTGGATTGCTCAAGGTCAGGAGTTCAAAACCAGCCTGAGCGAGACCCCGTCTCTAATAAAAATAGAAAGAAATTAATTGACCAACTAAAAAAAAAAATATATATATATACAAAGAATTAGCCGGCCATGGTGGCGCACGCCTGTAGTCCCAGCTACTCAGGAGGCTGAGGCAGGAGGATCGCTTGAGCCCAGGAGATTGAGGTTGCTGTGAGCTAGGCTTACGCCACGGCACTCACTCCAGCCTGAGCAACAAAGTGAGACTCCGTCTCAAAAAAAAGAAAAAAGGTCAAAGTTCAAGTGCAGAATGTAGCCAGGACCAAGAAGTCACCTTTTATGCCTCAGTTTATACTAATGCCAGCCACCCATTGTGGACTCAGCTGCTTGCCTTATAAACACACGGCAAGCTGGGTCTCATGCACAGAGTGGGGACCCGGGGTCCTGAAGCTTAAACCCCTCTGCTCTATAGTCACCACTCCTGAGCCTCTCTCAGTCCCCCTACCCCCAAGCCCCAGCAGCCCCCTATTGGCCTGGCCCCCACCAACCTCTTTTACAGTTTCACCACAACCAACATAATTGCTAAACAATTGCCCAAACTTGGAAGCCACAAAAATGTCCTTCAATAGGTGAAGGGATAAATGAGCCGTGGGATACCCAGACATTGACTATTTTCCAGCACTAAAAAGAAATGAGTGTCAGGCCATGGAAACACACGGAGGAAACGTAAATGCGTATCACTGAGGGAAAGTAGGCACTCTGAAAGGCTACATACGACATGATTTAAACTATATGACTTTCTAGACAAGGCAAAGCTATGGTTTTCAAGAATCAGGGATGAAGAAGGAGAGCAGAGAGGAATTTTAGAGCAGTGAAACTGCTCTGTATGATGTGACATGGTTGATACACATTACTATACATTTGTTCAAACTCATAGAATATTCAGCACTAAGAGTGGACCCTATAGAAAACCGCGGGCTCTGGGTGATAGTGATGTGTCAATGTAGGGTCATTAATTACAACAAACCTACCATTCTGGTGGGGGGTGTTGACAACAGGAGACTATGTATGGGTGATGGCAGGGAAGTCTTGTACCTTCTGCTCAGTTGTGCTGTGAACTTAAAACTGCCTGGTAATGCTAGATCCTCCTTTTATATGTGGTTAGAGTAGGTTTCTTAAAATATTGTTAAAGGTTTTTTATCTCTATGTTCGTGAGGGATATTATTCTGTGAATTTCTTTTTTTGCTAGGCTTTGGTATTAGGGCGGCGCCGGCCTCATAGAATGAGTTAGGAAAAGTTTCCTCCTTCTCGACTTTCTGAAAGGGTTGTGTAACACTGGTAAAATATTGCCCTTACGCGTTTGACAGGCCCCATGAGGATATTTTCTTTTTGCATTACGGAGAAAATATCTTCCTGAACTTTTTTTCTATAAAAATGGTTGCTCAACATTGACATGGAAAAATATACAACTTATAATTGGAGTCTTTTACACTTGGAAGAGGCCCTAGTAATTACGAAAATTTTTCATCCACAGAAGAGAAATAAAGATTGCTAGTTGGGAAAAACAGAGCCAAGAAAATACAGGATTTCTGGCCACTGAAGGGCACAGAAATCATTTCTAAGTAAAACAGACAAAAATGAACTTCCTGTAATCAACTAGAAGTAATTTTCTTTCAGTTGATAGGGAGCTGACAAGTCATGAACAAACTGAAATTGGGCTGAAAGCGATCAGTGTGGTGTGATATGGGGGGACCCTTCTTGCTCCCAGAGGACAGCTGGCAACACTTGGGGGTAGACAAGAACCCCAGTGCCAGGAAAAAGTGTCCTGATTCGGCATCACACTCTTCTGCCTGCCTGCACACTAAAGGGACCTTTCAGCTTATATGAGGACTCTGAAAAGAGGAAGTAATTTGGCTTAAAGCCACAGACTGTTGTGCATCTGCTTGGCCAAGGGCCAAGGCAGGCCTTTGCAGGACTGTGTCACAGGAGGCAGGAGACTGTGTCCAGGAGCTCCTCCCTGCTCTGGAATAGACCTCATCGCTGATCCCCTGGGTCAGGACAGGCTGAGGCCACTCACCTCACCCATCCTGAAGGGCATTAGGAGAAGCTCAAGGTGGTGGAAGTTCAGGAACTTGAGCCCAAGCCCAGGAATCCAGGAATCAGGCCTGCCTAAATGCGTGTGCGCTGGGGGTGGCACTAGGCCTGACTGAACTGTTGTTGGCGGCAATGGCGGTGAGTGTGCCAGGTCGTAGCAGTTTTTCTCAAGCAGACAGAAAAAGGAAGTGAAGTTGTACATTTTCTACTAATAATGGTTCCAATTTAGGATGGCATGCCATGAGGACCATTCACAGCCCCTGTGTGAGCACTTCATGGATGTCTTCACCGTCTGTCAGTTGGTTGCTGATTCTTCGGAGCAGCCACAGGTCATCACTTGTCATTTTCTGTAGGAAAGTGGCACTGGGCAAAGAGAGCAGCTGCCTATCCCACATGTACTCAGGGGACAGGACCTTGGTGGGTTTGTGGTGAAGCAGGTACTTGTTCAAGTAGGTCTCGTCGTGCCGCAAGGCCTTGATGTCACTGGCTTGGTCAATCATCATCGCCTGGTGACAGGCCTCGGTGAGCCTGTGAACCTCTGGCACTGACCCCCCAAATAAGGCCTCAGTGTAGTAAAAGTCTCCCTCATCCCCAGGAATGTAGGCTTGTGACTGAGGCTGGCGTTCATAAGGAAAGTTGCTCCGTTTGAGTCCATAGTAAACAGGATGGAGGGTGGCGAACAAGGAGGAGAGGATTTCCACACCCACATGGTCACTGAACTTCAAGTCCACGTCCATGCACACGAGGTAATCCACCTCCCCAAGGAAGCGCTGCTGGGAAAAGTTGCTGATCACCTGCATGTGGTGGGCATAGTTCTGGATCTCAATAATGACAATCTGCCTTCCCTCCCGGAGCTTGATGAGCGGAACACGATTTGGTTGGTCGGTGAAGACGTAGTACTTCATCCTGTGCCCCACCATGAAGTATGCCTCTGCAGTCTCTAGGAACAGCTTCAGAAAGTACACATATTCTTCCAGGGCAAATACGGTTAATCCAATGGTGGCATTCTGGAGCCAGAACTGCTCATTGAGTATCTGAATATTGAAGGTCCCCTCCCACACAATGGGAGCCAGCCAAGGGGTCATAACAAGGGCATCTTCCCTGGAGACCAGTAGCAGATCTGGCTGGAGATACAGCATCCTTGATACATTCACGGCTCGCGGGTGGTCTGCTCTCACGGGCATGCTTACCCCAGCTAGAACGCTTTCCAGCTTCTGGCTTCTTAGGGTCAGGGAAATATAGCCAAAGAAGACCAAGGTAACAATCAGCAGGAAAATAAAGGTTACGTGAAGAAGCAAGCAGTATTTTGATTTCCCAGGAAGCTTCTCCAGCTGCTTGGCCATGACTTTTTGTGTCTCCTCCACACTGTGCGGGCAACCTCTCCCGGGTGAAGTGAGGCCAAATTTGAGGCCCTGTGGCCTCCAAGCCACCACACACAGCTTACTCGTCCAGCAGTCCCCTAAATGCCCCAAGGCTGATTCTGGCACCAGGGGCCACTTGTGTCCAGTAGAGGAAGACCTGGAGTCCCAGCAGAACTCCAACAAATTCAGTTTTGGTTTACAGTTCTGTCAGGGTCACCAGGTGGCAGGATTGAGTCAACAGACAACTAGAACTGAAGGACCCGAGTGCTAGAGAGAAGGCAGGGTTTCTGAAGCAGGCTTAGGAGACTGGCTCAAGAGAGGCCACTGGGCAGGTCAAGGGCAGAGATTGTGATGAAAGCAGGGCAGGGCAGGCCCACCAGGTGGTCAGAGGGCTTATGCTCTGGCCTGCCCTTGACACTCACTAGCTGTGAGACCTTTTTTTTTTTTTTTTTGAGACAGAGTCTCACTTTTGTTGCCCTGGCTAGAGCGAGTGCCGTGGCGTCAGTCTAGCTCACAGCAACCTCAATCTCCTGGGCTCAAGCAATCCTCCTGCCTCAGCCTCCCAAGTAGCTGGGACTACAGGCATGCACCACCATGCCCGGCTAATTTTTTGTATATATATTTTTAGTTGGTCAATTAATTTCTTTCTATTTTTAGTAGAGAAGGGGTCTCGCTCAGGTTGGTTTTGAACTTCCGACCTTGAGGAATCCGCCCGCCTCGGCCTCCCAGAGTGCTATGATTACAGGCGTGAGCCACCGCGCCCGGCTGGCCGTGAGACCTTTAATAGAGAATGGAGTTTCCTAGAGAGTTCAGATGGTCTTCAACGTCACATCCAGATGGGCTGATATGGGAACCATAGTGGAGGGGACAGATCTACACATCAGTGTTTCCCTTATTCTCCCAATCACTTAAAATGCACTGAGCATTTATTTTTTAGGTATCGGGCCTTACACTGTTAG